ACAGAAGGTGATTGCATGAAAAAATTCATGGGATAAGCATACTAAGAAAAGTTAATGTAACTTCAAATAGAAATCAGGAGATTCTCTTTGAACCTCATAGAGTGAAACTGCTGAGAAAGCCAAGGGGGATCAGTAAGAAGATGCAGAATTCACTTAGTCTTTCAAAGTTGATGCCGCTTTTTGCTGAAGTCCCTTCAGCAAGAAAAACACCTTCCTGAAGAAAGTGAGGGCTGAAGTACACACACTCCAGAGCACATGAAACAGTAGTGGCACTGATCTGAGGAAAGCTATGCTGTATGTTTATTTATAGTTCTTAAAACAGCACTTGCATCAGGCATGCTCATAAACAGCATAAGTAGGAGAAATCCACAATTACATCAAAATTTTATTTTGACAAATTGCATTATAGCAGTGTCTGGGAGGTTGAGAGACCTTGTGAATTACCGGCCATTGCATTTATCCAGTACAGTTATTGTCTTCATGAAACAGGAAATGAGAGAGAAGAAAAACTTAGTTCTTCTGATTGCAGCTCTGTAGAGGAATTAAAAGAGTCCTGCTAGAGGATAAAGATAGTGTTGAGACATCTGTGTCAACTTCTGTAATTCTTGAAACTGGACCCTGCAGATTCTCAGAACAGAATTATTCTTGGAACCCTGAGCTCAGCACCGGAGAAACTGGGTCATAATGTAACTGTTATAATGAACTGTGATACAAAAAACTGGGATAGTATAAAAGCCTTAATTTATTGTCAAGTGAATTTCCTTTATTGTGAAATGGATTGAAAAAGTTAGAACCTTCAGTATTTATACAGAGTCAACAATAAATATGCAATCAATTTCAGTATAGACAATCTATAGACTAACTATATGGAATGTATGAATTAATGAAAATTCACCCTGTCTTGTAAATAAGAGTCTCAAAATCAGTGCTTGACCTAGACATGGATGTTTTCACCAAACCATCTGTCCTGGGTTCAGCAGTATCAGTCATTTTTTCTCCTTCTTAGTAGCTGGTGCAACGTTGTGTTTTTGACTTTCATCCTGAGAACAACGCTGATAACACTGATGTTTTTAGTTGTTGCTAAGTAATGTTTACTCTGACCAAGGACTTTCTGAGACTCATGCACTACCAGGGAGCAGGGGAAGCCGGGAGGAAGCAGAGACAGGACACCTGACCCAAACTAACCAAAGAGGTATTCCATACCACAGCACTTCATGCCCAGTATATAAACTGGGGGCAGTTACTCAGAAGGGCTAGATCACTGCTCGGGTCGGGCTGGGTATCAGTCAGCGGGTGGTGAGTGGTTATATTCTCTTAGAATCATAGAATCATAGAATAGTTAGGGTTGGAAAGGACCTTAAGATCATCTAGTTCCAACCCCCCTGCCATGGGCAGGAACACCTCACACTAAACCATATCACCCAAGGACTCATTGAGCCTGGTCTTGAACACTACCAGGAATGGAGCATTCACAACCTCCCTGGACAACCTATTCCAATGCATCACCACCCTAACAGGAAAGAATTTCCTCCTTATATCCAATCTAAACTTCCCCTGTTTAAGTTTTAACCCGTTACCCCATGTCCTATCACTACACTCCCTAATGAAGAGTCCCTCCTCAGCATCCCTATAGGCCCCCTTCAGATACTGGAAGGCTGCTATGAGGTCTCCAAGCAGCCCTCTCCCCTTGTTATTTCCCTTATCATTATTATTATTGGTGGTAGCAGCAGTGATCTGTGTTATACCTCAGTTACTGGACTGTTCTTATCTCAACCCGTGGGAGTTACATTCTTTCAATTCTCCTCCCCATCCCTCCAGAAGTGGGGGGGAGGAAGGGGGGAATGAGCAAGCGACTGCATGGTTCTGGGTTGCCAGCTGGCCTTAAACCACGATGCCATTCAACTTGATGATGGAGTTCACCTTAGCTGCTATGTAGTCTGAAGGACAATTTGGTGCATTTCCAAACTATGCTTCAAATCTGACAAGCAGAGTTTATACCGCTTCAAGAAACAGTGCTAAGAATATATTGGCTGATTTTTTTTTCATATCTGCAAATGCCAGTAGGTCTCCTCAAGCTACAGTCTGCTGATTTGGTCCAAACCCCTCCTTTTCCTTTATTTGTGACATACAGCAAAAGCTGTTTGTTTTTCTAATGAAAACACTCTGAGATGTAGCAAGGAGATTTGTTTAAACCTTTTACTCCTTCTGTTTTGCAGTTTAAAAGGAAACGGGAAACTGTAGGCAACTGCAGCTAATGGTAGGCTGACCTCACATGGTAAGGAAAGTGTAAGCAGAAATTTACTAAGTATCAATTTATCTGTAACAATGCAGAGCTGCAGACCCAGCATATCTCAGCATAGGGTTATCCAGTAGGTACACTAGATAGCCCTATCATGGGTATTACAGTACTTGGAAACTGAGAAGCTCAGCTTCTCAGTGTGGCGGTGACTAGTCCCTAATCTTCAGTTTACAAGTATTTTTTTCACTCTATTTGCTTTATTTTTTTGCTTTAGCTTGCTTGTCTCTGATCCTAGGCTACCATCATGTGGCCAAAATGAGAATCTTCTCAGGTAACAGAAACAAAGACTGGTTACTCAGCCTGGAAACCAGCAACGTACTGCCTGTGTACAAGAAGGCTGCAATGTGTAGTCTTCAGAGGGCTTAAATTTTCTTCTTGACTGCACTCAGTCATCCCTTACGTAGACACTCTGCCCTTTGGTTTGTGTTTGTTTTGTTCTGCTTTAATTCTTCCCCGCCCACTTACTGACAAAACACACTCTAATTTCTGACAGAAAAGGTGCAAATTTTTTTTTTTTGTAAGTAGCAGCACTGGCCCACTCCATGCATTAAATTCAGGTTTATCTATGCTGGGCATTTCTGCTGACACATTCTAAACTTACAGTTTTAAGTCATCCTGATGTGAATCCCTTGGTGTAGTCTCCCATGACATTCTTGCCTCTAGACTGGGGAGCTATCAGTTTAAGAGATGGACTGTTAGATGTGGACTGTTAGATGGCTATGGAATTGGCTGGGTGGGTGTACACAAACACTTACAGTAGTCAATGGCTCAATGTCCAAGTGGAAACCAGTAATGAGTTGTGCCTTTAAAGGGTCTGTACTGAGACCAGTGCTGTTTAACATCCTCATCAATGGCATAGTGGGATTGAGTGTGCACTCAGCAAGTTGTTAGATGACACCAAGCTGAGTGGTGCAGTTGGTTGGCTAGAGGAAAGGGGTGCCATCCAGAGCTTGACAGGCTTGAGGAGTTGTCCCATGCAAACCTCTTGATGCTCAACAAGGCCAAGTGCAAGGTCCTGGGTTGGGTTAATCCCAACTATAAATACAGGCTGGGAGATGAAGGGATTGAGAGCAGCCCTGCAGTGAAGGATTTGAGGATATTGGTGGAAGTGACCCGGCAATATGTACTTGTGACCCAGAAAGCCAGCCGTATCTTGGGATGCATCAAAAGGAGTATATTCTCCACTGAAAAGACATTTTTTCATGTCAGAATTCCTCTGTCTTTTAAGATGCAATGACAATAATTTGATTATTACTAAGAAGATAATATTCATCAGTCTGAAATTGTGTCCATACAGCCGTTGCATAAATACTTTCATTTCTTTCCCATGCACTCACTATTTTACTCCGACTCACAGAGAACTGTGCTCAGGTTCTTCGGTCTTTTCCAGGCTAGGAAAATTGTGTGAGAAATGTGTACTGTGTAGGCTATGTATTGTGTAAGAAAATAATAAGGAAGCAAATAAATGATGTTCTTCCTCTGCATTTCTTATCAACCAGGGCTTATCATGTTCTAATCTTTACTTTCTAGTAAAGTTTTGCATTAAGGCAATTTTCTTCTAAGAAGTACCTCATTCATGAGCTGTTGTTCAAGCTTGAGAGATACACTATATGAGCTAGATCAGCTGTGTTCTGCTGTAGATTTACTGGAGCTGGTTGGAATAGTAGACAGGAAAGCCCCTGGTGTCCTCTCACAGAGGCCACCCCTGCAGTCCTGGCAACACCTATCACCACATCTAGCCACCTACACCTAATTATTTTAAAATAAGTTTTTAGTGCTTTGCTTTCTCTTTCTATAGTAAACAGAATAGTGAATTGAAACTGAGCTGGAGCTCAACAGCACTTTTTCTGAGACATCACCTGTGTACAGTCATTGCACCATCAAAATAGAGGTCAGACTGTGCAGGGATGTTTCTTGCTCCTTCACTAATATACTATGCTTGTCAGAAATAATGATCCAGCTAAAACAGGTTACTAGCAATTTTAGGAGAAGATAAAGTGTTGAATAGTCTTCATGTAATGTACTCAAAAGAGGCTTTGGTTTAAGTATGAGGCTATTATCTCAAATCTGAGATCCTGATAGATATCTACTGGTCAGTTGTTACTAGAAAAGTCATTCCAAACTCACAGTGTAGAAGTCATCTCTAATGTTAACAATGTAAAAATTATATCCAAGTCTGATCCAATGCCTCAGCCAAAAGGGCAAGACTCTGAATTATCCAGGGAATAATACATTTGCTCTGCCTTATGGGATGAGATTACACCTGTAATAGGCAACTAAGTCATAACAAGTTCACTAATCCTTATTCTTTTTGAGCAGAACTCAAAGTTACAAGCCCAAACTTAAGGATTTTTGACAGATACCTAAGTAATCAACGCTGAATCTTAACCTGCTGATGTAGAGATAGATTTTTGCACAGTGCCACAAATGACTTCTCTGCTAATACCTGTACTGATAATTTCAGTGGTGAGGTTACCTACTACAAATTAGCCAGCTCTAAAACTTTTGCATAGTGTTTATCTTCCCCTTATGTTTTTCCAGCTATTGGAACACTTATAGTGATTCTTCAGAAATAAACTTTTTTAAATGAAGGAACAACTCTTTAAAAGGAAGAAAAACATTTAGGCACATATACTTGTCAGAAAAAATGAAATGAAAGTGGCTAAATTAATATAACTTGGCCTAATATGGGGTGCAGTTTAACAGAGTAATGAGAAGCCGGACTCAGCCAGGCACCTTTGAATTCTCTTGCATTAACAAACTGGTACTCCTTGAGTGATCAAATGCAATACTAACGGTTGGAAAGGGAAGTAGCAGTGGGGACTGATCAGGGATCTGACTAATTTACTAGTTAGCTGATCTGGCTGCGTATGAGGAGTTGAGTAAGCTGATCTGTGGGAAAAGGGCAAGTGACATTGGACTGAGTGCAGGAGAGGATTTGAAAATGTTAGGCAAGCTACATTAAGAAATCACCTCAGAATGAGAAGCATATCTCACTGGGCCTCTCCAACATATTACATAGGGAATTACCTAAGCCTCGCATTTGGAAACATCACTGTAGAAGGCTGTATCCTCTCATCTCCATCAGAAAAGTGCATGTCTTTCCTGTGGGACTGAAGGAGTGAATCATGGAGGGACGGCAACATCTGTGAAACTATGCCAAAGGTATGTCCTAACAACATTCCTTTTTTAAAGTTCAGGCAAGCTAATTCACTTCTGTCAAATTCTTCCCAGAGGCAGAAAACCTTGCCTTCCTCTTCTGTCGAAGAAGTCAGGGCTACAGCAGCCCCACTCTGACTGACAGATTTTAACCCAACTTCTTCCTCCACATCCACAAGTTTGTAGCTGATAAAGTATAAAGTATTCTGTTGTCAGTGCTTGACTATATGATCAGGAATATTAGTATAAATTACCAATCAGATGCCAATATATATGTTCTTAAGTGTGTATAAATTTTCTGTTTTTAGGCAATGTTTCATGAATTCCATTGAAAGAAGGATCATAGTTATGAAATATATTTTTTATAATACAGCAGGGTCTCTTTCTAGAAATATTAATGATGCATATCTATTATTTTCAAGCAAAAAGATAAGTCATTTGCTCAAAAGTCATTTGCTCAAGCCTTATCCTTTAAGGCTGCTTGCCATCACAATTATTGTGATTCATCACTGATCTGAACTTTACCACAGAGGGAATGTGTGCATGATGAGATATCAGTTACTCATCAGTGTTCTGAATTTTTCTATGTAGTTCACAAAGTGTGAAGTGAAAATTTCAGAATAGTAACAATTCCTAGCTATTTCAATTATTTCTGGTATAATTTAGAAAACTTGTACAATCTTTCCGTGCCTCAGTTCCTCACTCAGAAAAGATTAGAGATCTGTTCTTTCTCAACTTTCCTTCCCCTTTCGCTCACTCATTAAAAGTAGTACATATCCTAAGTTAGGTGTTAAATGTGTCTTATTTAGCCTAATGGATTTGTAATCACAATGCTATCAGTACTACCTGTATAATTCAAACTGTTCACTGATTCCTCCTGATTAGCTGAGAACAAGCATGCTTACATTAGTATTGCATTCCTTTGTAGGGCTCATTCCCACTCCTGATGCAAAGTCAGCATACTTTACAGTGTACTCCAAACCTGCACATTGCTGTCTCACAAATCTTTACACATAGGAGTTGACTGTAATTTATATTAACATTTACAGATGTATTAAAACAGAGAAACTAGAACGAAGGCATTGTATCTGAAGTTTACTTTCAGCATCAACAAATGGCTATTTGCTGTAGCTGATAATTTTTGGAAAACAAAGAGACATCTTCTCCAAGAAATTACATTCTTTGGCAAGCCTTGTATTGATATACGTACACATGCATCTACCTAGTTTAAAAAGTGTTACAAAAGGAATATACAACAAAAGAAACGTTATATTTTAAGACTGCATCTGCAGAGTAGGAGGCCACATGGACAATTGCCATCACTATTATGTGAAACAGAAGCATGAAATCAACTTCAAAACAGGACTAAGAAACCCAAATGGCGGTAATTTAGTCACTGCAAGAGAAAACTGCAATTTCAAAATTTCCATCTGTTCAGCAGCACATATCACTTTCAGGACATTACCTTACTGATATACTTCAAGCCTGCCTCACTACCCCTTTGCAGTGAAAGATTTTCATTTTCACATCAGTGCAAAGAAAAGATGAGATTTTCTGTAAACAGAGGTGGAACAAAAGAGCACCCCAAATATCCCCAGCACGTGATTGCAAACATGAGTTGTACTAATACAAGAAACTAGACTTCAAGGGACTGTGAGAAGGAAAAAACCACACCCTTTAGTCACATGCATGGAACTTCACTGGAAGTAGCTCAGCACAGGGTTCAGATGACTACAAAAGAAAGGGCCGCCATGTACTAAGCATTGCTTAGAGTGCTGGCTTTGTGGATTCTTTGCAGCAATTTCTTTTTACAGGCAGCTAAACCCTGGGTGAAGTACTGCACAATGCACTGGCTTTATGGATATTTTTAATTATATGACATGCAATTTTGATCAGCCCACATCCATACGTGGTTCCAAAACAGCACTTTGATAAACCAGAATGATGGTTCAGTTCAAGATTCTTGTAAGGATGGAAAGAAGTGTTGAATGCTCCCATTCTTGCATTTCTGAATAAATTAACAATGTGTGTGGGGAAAAAAACAGTGTTAAAAGATAAAAGCAAAACAAACAAAAACCCCACAAATGAGCCCCGCAAACCCCCTTCCTGAGGTGTAGTTTTCTTCCTTTAATTATTTTAAATTATAAGAAAACTCCAGAAAACATACCACCAAAATGAATGGTTTTTCTCTGAAGTCAGCAATGATAGTATATTATTGGTGTAAGAAAATGGGAAGAAATAGGCTGCAATTACAAATGCGCTACCATCAATTCAATGTACAAACCACACTTAAAACAAGTAGAATGAACATGTTTTGCTAATAAGCAGAAGACAAAAAGAGAAAATATGTTTTCTACATTTTAAAAATGAAGTCCTGGGCTTGTAGACAGATCTGCTACTTATTACCATTGGATTTGAGATTCTAAGTCCCAGTCTTAAATACAACATACTTCTAAATATAGTCAAGGTTCTCAAGAAGCATTTACCTTCCTTTATCTAGGTCATTGCTAGAAAAGCATGGTTTTTGTACACCACCAGTGTAAGCTCATGTCTCATGTACTCCAGAACAAGGGATAGGTTGGATTCAAGATATTAGAGCTAAAGGCTGTTGGTTTGGCCTTACATTGTATAATTGAATTATCTGGTGCTAACAGTAAAAAACACATGGAACTTAATATATTCTTTTCTATTCCAAAGCCAGAATGAATTTATTGAATCTGTGTATAAGGGAATATGTCTAATCCAGTCACATTAATCACAGCAAAAAATGTTACTAAAAAAATAGAGGCATGTGTTGTATACCCAAGATGCAAAGCAGTAGTTTTTTGAGGCTTTAATGAGTAAGAAGCTGAAACATTCCACTGGGCTTTTGTATGACGTGATTCTGGCTGTGTTTTTTGTTTGTTTGTTTGTTTTTTTGTTGTTTGTTTGTTAGGGTTTTTTTTTAACATGTATTTTTAACACACATACTGAAAGAACAAAAATTTATCCATACTTAAATGTAACAACCTCTGCTTGGGATGAGGGTGAAGACCCTTAGGTCTCTACCATTTCACCTAACAAGCCATCAGAGTAAGGGGGATGCATGGGATACTTTTTCAGCATTTCTCTGCTATGTGCCCAGTAGCTAAAGATGGGGAAAAGCAAAGCAGAAGAGACAACTTCTATGCTCTGGAGGTGATTGCACCAGTTAGTAAATGAAAGAAAATATATTCCTTGATCTCTTCAGTGCTTTTGTAGCAGTGTTTGTAAAATGAGATGTTTAAGAAGGTAATAGCCTACTCAGATCTGGCAATTTTTTTTTTTTTTAAAGGCAGTAAATAATGCATTCTTGACACCTTAGGTTAATTTTTTGCACCAAAATCTGATTCTCAGTGAGTAACTATTTCAATGTGAACAAAGAGGTATAGCTTTCCAAACCACATTCCCGGAAAAAAAAACCAAACAAACAACAGTGTTATTCATTGCTCCCCTTTGAATTCAACTTATGGTAGAAAGCTGGAATGCAAAATGTCAGCTTCATGAATAAAGTGGTAAATTAATTTCAAACCCGCTTATTACCAAGGCAGCCAAACCCCCAGAATGCCACTTATAACATGCCTGCATGGCTTGCAATTGCATATGTGATAACTGCAAACTAACTTCATTTTCAAAATAAACCATGTAAATGTAGGACAACTTCAAAGGGTGGGTTAGACAAAGCTTCAGGTGTGAAGAGTAAACCAGACAGTAACAACTATTGAAAATGTAAAATTTATTTGTTCTTTTTCCTCCATTGGTTCTGTGACTTTTGGTTATCTGTCTAGTTTGTGTCTTCTTGGGTTTGTCTGTTTGGTTGTTTTTTTAATTTGGTGCAGTGAAAAATGCTCATTAGCCCCTGAAAAAGCAGGAGAACATTGGCAAGTAGGATATGATCTTTCTGGGACATCTTCATAGACACCATTTTCACTATGTGATTTAATTTCTTTTATAGAAGATAAAAACTCATTACAATATGTGAAAAAATTAAAAATCTTTTTCATATGCAAAGAGAAAAAACAGTAACAGCTCTGAGAACTGAGTTAGTCATCCAGAGTTGTGTCTCCTTCAAGGTATTTTGAAGAACTGTATAGTGTTTGTGTATACAGAAGTGTGCTTTGGTCCCACAGCAGGAAGTGGCACTGGAAACCGGCCCCTGAGGGGCATCTTGCAAAAAAGGGAACTCTCTTGAATCAATTTCTCATTATAGTGTACGACATTTTCCACTGGTGATCTCTCCTGCCTCACAGCCCAAACAATGCTTAGGTATCCAGGATTTCACAGGCATTAAGATGAAGGTACGTTTTGAAAGAAGAAAATAAATAGTGCTGCTGTTTTGACTCTTTAGGTATGCAAACCCGTGAAAATGTTTGACCTGTATTGTTTATTTCATAATTTCTTAATCAATTTCTACATTGTCTACTGTCAAATATGGGGGCTTTGAAAAATATGAATTGACAGCCTTTAATGAAGTATAAGTTTCAGGTAGTCTTAATCAGACAATCAGTCCCAGTGATTCCCCTTAGCTAAGAATGTGTATTAGAGCCATGAATAAAAGATTTCATTGCTTAGTTATTGAATTTACCCTCTAAATCAGGCACAATATATTTTTAAAGAGTACTTGATTTTTATTTTTTTTTTTTGGTCAATTTTACTTTTCTTTTTTTTTTTTTTTCCTTCCAAAGAAAATATTAAATATTGCTGTTTCTTAAAACGTTAACTTTTGTATTTAGGAAGATAGAATACTTAGTTCCACAAACTTTTCAAAATTACTTTGTTCAGACACAAGGACCATGAACAGATCTACACTTCAGGAAACACTCAGGTATCCTGAATTTTTAAATCTAAATGGTTCATTTTCCTCACGCTCCAAGTAGTAGCTCTTAAGTTTTGTGAAGATTGGTTTAGCTACTTTCATTTTTCTTGCCCTGTCTACTTCCCAGATTCATCAGGTGGGTTTTGTGCAAACCCTTATAATCTCTGCAGCTGCAGTGGCAGATGGGCTGGCAGCTCCCCCTGTGTTACCTCTCTTGTCTCTTATTCCAGCAACCGCTATGGTAAACCAGAGGTAAGGCAGCAGCCAAAAGGTACTGGCTATATTTGAAGCTCAGCGATGAAAGCAATTGGACAAGTAAAAGACAACAACAACAACAAAACAAAGTAAAATATAACTGTAGTACTGGTTTTAAATATTAGGAATACTTCCTTACTTAAAAAAAAAAGTATTTTTTGACAATGAATTTTTTTTTTTTAATGGTTATTTTTTACATTCTTTTGACTATGGACATAATTTCTATCCCATTAGTTTAACTGGACTGCTTATATTTGGCTAATGTGCCTTTCTCCAGAGACAAAAGGACCAGAGACCCTTTTATTAAAAAAAATATTGTCAGGCAATGAATTTTATCTCACACCTCATAGACTGAATGTCAGCACCATATGCTAACATAAAGCTCTTCATGGCACAGGATTAAAAACACACAGTCATCTGTGAACATCTAAGAAGAAATGTTCTGTCTTTCTGCTCATCTGTGCTGGCATAAATGGAAATACGTGTTCTTTGACAAGTTGTAAATGGAAAACCTTTTATGTATAGATGGCTTTTCATTCCCTCCTAGTCACCTTGAGTGTCCTTATGCTGCAGTGCTTTTCTGTGGACCAGTTCATTGCATACAAACGCAAGGAATACTCCGTGGGGTCTGCCCAGCACTCCATCTGCTGTTCTGCCTACAGCAGTGCCAACAAGAGGTGCTATGCAGATGCGATCCACAAATCTGGCCATCTTCTGTAACCCATTTTCCATGTATTCCAGCATCTACAGTGACTTAATTAGGGATGTTAGAGGGTATATCCATCTCTAATACCTTTTAGTAGCTTTTCGTGTACTGTTTTCTACAAATTTGCCAAGTCCTATTCACAGCCTACTGACACTAGCATTCCAGTGCCTGTGAGAGCAAGGTGCAGGAGTTTATTGCATACTGAGAAATGCCTCTCAATGCTGTACAAAAGATACTCCTAGGAACAAGTAATGTCCAGAAAACAGCAGAGATCTCTTCTGAAATGTCTTACTCGGACTCAATTTTGGTTTTTTTTTCTAAGTTTATCCAGACTTTAAAAATCTTTGCTCTCTGCCCCTGTGTTTTCTCTCTCCAACTGAATTTACTTGTATTACCTCACAGATTATTTCAGTTCTTGTTTCTAACACCAGAAGTTGTTGCTGCTTTAAGATTTATTTTGTTTGTTTTCCTATATCAGGTCCCTTTTTGACTTGAGTTTTCCACAATGTTTATGTTAATGTTAGGCACAAATATTTTAACTTGCTTAGTGTTTTCCATCTTCACTTCTCCCTTTCTCCTAATTTAAATAAAAGACATACTTGTTCCTAGAACTACTTTTTTTTGCTCCATCTCATGGGAATGGATGAGCTCTTTACAGCCACTACATGTTGAATTATAAACCCTTGAAAGCTCTTTGTTTTCAATTTATGTTTTCCTTGACTTTTTCTATTGCCACAGACAGCACCATTAATGGCACAGTTCACCCCTTCCCTTTCCAGGCAACTAGAATTGGCTTCTTTCAGAGGCACAGCATGTAGGAGAGTTTACTCACTTTTTGGGTTGACTGTGTGCATGGTGTAGCACACATACTACAGCTGCTGCTGCTGCTACAGCTGAGATCAGTACCAGAATGAACCAGGTGGGGGAATCTCTGTCTTAAAGCATTTTGTTATGATTTTTCATAGCACTTCATAAGCAATGCCAGCATTCATTAAAGAACTTTTGTTCACTGCACTGTGCCAAAATAGCACTATAAATTAATCTGTATGTATTTGTATGAGTGTACGTGTATGTGTATATATTTTTTTCCAGGCAACTTCATTGCAAATTCTTTGGATGTGCTGAACATTCACACATCTTCCTCTACATGACCAGTGCCACTTGTTAATCAGTGTATTTTGAGCATTTTGGTATGGCACCAGGTGTACTTTTGCTAGTCCTTGGATAACACGCACAGAGTAGGTCTGAGGACTTACTACTGAAAAAAAATCAGAGCCAAGATAACTTAGTTAGTTGTGAGTGAAAGATCCCAAACACAGAGGCATATTAATTCTGCAAAGAATTCAGAAGCCTGAGAAGTTGTTTCATGGTGAAGCAGCCTTTGAAGGAATATTCAGGGATCAGAGATACCGCAATTATGTCTTTCTAAAACCAGCTTTGATCAGAGTGGAATATGTTTGTTCACTGTATCCCAAACTTAGCAAACACATGATATACTCTTGCTGATACTTGCTTTTGCAAATGACAGAATTCATTTCAGGCTGTTTTGATTCATATCTTCCTAAAGCAGATGCCTAAACCAGGTAACACGATTCACAACCTAGAACTGACAGTCATTCTACTGACACTAAGGGCTGGATATATGGATACAGCTGCTGGGTTTGTATCTAGCCACAGTTATGTCAAGTAGCTGCTACCCAAACTGCCTGCTTTCAGTATCAGTTGTGTCATTTCTGTGGTCTTGATTTGCAATCTAAGCAGTAATTCCAAAACTAGCTTGGTATGGCACACATGTTCTTTTTTGCCGTGACACCCAATTAAAGAGTGGGTTTAAATAAAAAATCCCAGGTATAAAAGGCACCAAACAACAAGACCTGTTAAATATATGTAATTTTATATTTATTTCTTATACCTGGGACATCACTTAAGTAGTTAAGTGACTGTTTCATATTATTTCACAGGTGCAAAATGAAAACATGATGTTCTAACTGCTTTTTCAACCAAACTTGGAAGTATAGAGTCTCAGTTTCTGCAGACAGTGTGGCACGAAGAGTGTGCTATGGCACATGTTACAGTCATTCCCATCATGCTGATAATAACCTTTTTCCAGTGTAAGACACTGTTTTCCAGTAGCCTGGCAAGTGAACAACAAGGTGTAGGAGGTAAGTAAAATATCAAATAACAGTTCATCCTACACTAGCCATCCCAGGTATCTGAACTTGTTACCAAAGCACTTTCTATAGCCCATAAAGAGAAATGGAGACCTCTGTTAGGAGGGGTGTCCAAGACAAGTAAAAGTGAATGGCCTAACATTTTGAGAGCTGCAAATAACTAAACATGAATGTCATTGCTGAAGTGAGTCATATCCAGCAGAACTGAAAAACCACCTGCTCATTGTAAGAACAGAGCTCCTGGGAGAGCTACTGAGTGTGCAAGCCTTACTGAGAGCCAAATCCTTTGCGTACACAGTGGTGGGACCTTTCTTCTTCTATGCAATATCGTTGTAATTGCAGATGCACCTGAGCTACATAACACTGTGTGGATTTCCAAGCATGAGCCTGCAGTCATTCTGTCTTGGAACAATAACCTGACAAAAGAAGAAACTGAGAAGTATACTGTGAAGTATATTTTGAGTTACAAATTCTTCAATACCACTCACGAGAATGAAGTAAGTTGTTCAATGGTTACACATAGTTTGAAGTGAAATCATGTATTACTTCATTCAGTAGACAAATTTGCATAATTTCCTTTTCAATACTTAGTACTGTCTACTTTCATGCAATTCCTTCTTTCTTCTCTTAGGAAAGACTGCAAAAGAAGAAAAAGAGAATAAACCTTAACTTACACTCTGGTTTTAATGCTAAAGTCAAAACACAACTTTTTGCAAAAGAAACAGATGATGTAATTAAGGAGAGTGGCTGGACAGCATTTACTTACAAGGCACCTCCAGGTCAGCTGTTTCCTCCATGTTGTTAAGACATCATGATAGTGTTTGCTGTTGCTTGGAGACATAATTTCCAAAAGCTTATTATTCCACTTTTACTTTGGTATGGATTTGTTAAGAATATGACACATAACTTCTTGGAATATTGCAGAATTATTTCCTTTATTAGACAAGTTCAGATTCAGAAAACTCCAGCTCTGTTGAGCAAGCTGTTGAAAAGACCCAAAAACTCTTTCATTTTCCCTCGAAACTCATGTCTTGAAGATTGCCTTCCGTATCACCCAGTTTCAGGAAATCTTGAAAGAGCAGTTTTTTTAATCTACTTCTTTGGGTTAATTTTTCATTAAGTGGGTTAGTAAGGCTTTTGTTGTTAGTAGCAGGTGTACTGCCATTGTCCAAAAAGCAGAATGACCTATTTGTTCCCACCTCCCACTTATTCACACTTCTAAAAATAAGGCTATATAATGGGTTTGTAAGGGCATCCATCATGGTATTATGTAAAATAAATGTCAGTCTTTTTACTCCTTTTTTTTTTGTTGCAGTGTATATTCAGAATTTTTCATGCATCATATATAACATTTCTTTTTTCAATTGCACCTGGTATATTAAAGCAGAAGCTCCTGAAGATATACAGATCTTTTTTTCATACAGGTAAGAGTTTTGTGCAAAACAAGTATGAAATCATGGTTTTGCAGCTAAGACCTTGATTTACAGGACTTATATTTCCTTCTCACAGACACATAGGAAAAGATTTTGATTGCCAGCAATATATAAAAAATGCAAGGAAGAAAAATATTGGCTGCCATATGAAAGAAATATATTTCCAGCCATCAAGAAAAATCAATTTAAACATAACTGTAAGAGGTATGAAGAATAATTCAAGATTGTCTTATTACAAAATTTTTACACCTCAGACAATAGGTAAGTATTGCCTATTATTACCTATTATGAAAAGTTAATTCATTGGTTATTTCATTGGTCTGAAAAGGAAAGAAATACCCTCCCTCTCCCCCCAACCTGCCTTTCCTGAAAAACCTGTATCTTTCCACTCCAGCACTCCAGTTACAGGAGGCATCCCAAGTCTGTATGGTGGCAGTGTTGTCATAGCCCTTCAGGCCTGAACACACTGCTACCTCCTCTTGCTTGTTTCCCATGCACCATACATTGGCATAAAGACAAAGATCATTGATCAAAGAGACAAGGGAAGAAGGGGAAGGGAAAACAAAATTTAAAATGGAAACCCCAATGTGGCATACACCACCTGTGGAATGCCACAGCTTCATGCAGCTGCAGCCACTGGAGCAAGCACAATGGCTTCATGGACCAGCAGTGCTGCCACTCACCCTGCCTGTGTCTCTCTGTCTTTCCCCTCTGGCATCACATGGCAGAAATGTCAGCCCCAGACCTCGCTGACCCTCTCTACAGAGACTTGCTGTGCACTTCTGCCTCTGCTGGGAGGGCTTTTTCAGAAAACTCCAACAGTGGTTCCTCCCTGCAATGTAGTGGAAGCCAGAGAGGGCTCAGGCTGCTTGAGTATTCCAGCACACTAGAGTACTATGATCACTGCCCTAACACTCACCATGCTAGAAAGTAACTATAGACTTGCTTATCTAAACCAGAAACTAAAATACTGGGAACTCATATGTTCTTTGCTTCCAACCGTACCCCTTGTCCCTCTTTAAAAAAACCCATTGCCATCACACTCCTTGCATTTCTACGTTCATGGTGAACATAGTGACAGGAGGGGGACTTTTTGTTTACTCGTTTACATGTCCTAGGCACATCTTTCTTCCTCTGTAGCAAGTACTTGTGTGCTCATTTACAAGAGAGAAAGTTTTCTTAAGCATCTGTGGCAAGCGTCATACATCAAACATATATACTGCCAGGAATCTGTATCCCTTCAGTAACCCCCCAGTGAGAGATGAAATTAATTCTCTTTCAAAGTTATACTATCAGGCTTATGGGCAGACTTGGAGTATCCGACAAGAAATATGTATCCTACATGGCAGGGAGCCTGAAGCAGCTCGGAGGTCTCCTTGCTACCCATACAGACTCTGGAGAGTGAAATCAAAGGGCTTGCTTCTCCTGTCCACTCCTACTACCTTCCCTAGAAAGATACATACAATCATAGAATCACAGAATAAATTAGGTTGGAAGAGACCTTTAAGATCATCAAGTCCAGGCATTACCCCAGCACTGCTAAGTCCACCAGTAAACCATGTCACTAAGGGTCTCATCTACATGTTTTTAGAACACTTCCAGGGATGGTGATTCCACCTCTTCCTGGGCATGAAACAAACCCCTGTAATTTTCTTTATTTTGGCTCAGAAATGGATGCTACTTAGTGAACAGCACTTTTAAGGAAAATGAGTCACTGAATGACTCCTTTGGGTGTGAAAAACTCCAAAATAGTCAGCTGAGTATTTTAAGGACTAACGCACAGTGTTTGTTTTGCATAAGCATAAATATGAGAAAGAGCATGTGTTCCAGAAGGTCTCTCTGTGTGTTTTTTTTCAGAGAAACTGAACCCGCCTATCAACATCTCAGTTTCCCTTGAAAACAGAAGTATTCAAATTCACTGGAAACCCCCGCCTACAATTGGTTCTGCAAGTAGCAAGTGTTTTTTGTATGAAGTGAAAATAACAGATCGTAAGGTAATAATATTTTAACTATAATAATGCACTTAAACTGCATAACTGCCATAAAAATTGGGCATCATTTGAATTCAATGGAGTTAAAAGTCAAAGAAACTTTAAAGAAATCCCAAGGTCTTTCATAAATAATCCAACTTTCCTTGTTTTTCTGGTCAAAAATGGAAAATCAACACGCTTTCTGAAATTTTTCAGAGTCATGCTTGCATTGAAGTGGCTTGGTTGTTTTTTTCCTTTTCATCTTGAATTTGAATTCTACATTAGTATTTCATAGATTATTGACTTTTATAGAAAATGGAGTACTGATAAAAAGAAAAGTTTAGCAGCTAGTTTGATAATAGTTTTTTAGGGGAAAAAAAGGACATTGTAATTATTTCTACATGCATCACTAAAAGAATCACACCTGCTTTTCGCATACATTATACATATTTAAAAATCTTTATGGTGTATCAGCATCTTCTTTTAGATTTACCAGTAAGAAATAGAACTGTGTTATAGTTTAGGTTATTCCATATGGTGACTAAATAACACCTGGCATTACTTAGTGGCAGTTTTAAACTACCTGTAAATAAGAGCTGAAAAGTTTTCATGCAGATTCTTATTTGAACCACAAAAGTACAAACCTAAGCACTTAATTCAGAATATGGTAAGTATGAAATTCAGGTGTGCATTGGAATGTGAATTTCCTAAAGATTCGGAAACCTAATTACTCAGGTTTATATGGTAGTTTTCATTCAAGCTGTCTTTGAAGCTCTGTGTTTGATTAAGAACCTAAATCTCTGCTAACACACAGTCTGCTATCTGCAGTCAGTGCACAGTACTCTAACAATAAAAAGCTTATCTAAACTGGCTACAAACACTTAAAAGACAATGAAACTCTGAAAGAGCATATAAATAAATTGATATGTATCCACCCTTTGTTAGACATGGTAGAAAGGAGAAGTGTAATGGGAAAGACACAATATTGATCACATAAAGTTATCTGTCTTTATAAATTACAGCAGGATTTATTAATTCAGATGCAGTACTAACAGCGCTAGGCAGCTTCCAGAGCAGAGCTGGCATTTCCTATGCTCTGTCATTGCAACACACAGAAAAGGAGCTCAAGGTCTGTATTCGGACATGTCAAAGCTTCCCAGTCCTTTTGGGGATTTTCCAGGAGACAGACAGGTAGCCTTCTTCTAGGTCATCTCTGCAGCTAATTATCATTCCCTAAACCATTCCTAACTCTAATACTTAAAAATCCATGCCAGAGACATCCCAGGCCTTGTCCTTTTCTATTCACAAAGCTCCTAAGTGCTAAAGGCAGTGAGCAGAGGGATCAAGGGAGGCTCATGCTAGATCTTTGGTATCCTGTTCATGTAAGGGTGCCTGCTAAGTGAGGGGATTTTAAGGCAGACTTGAGGAGAATCAGTATCAAAGCTGACAATGATTAAAATGGTAATTACCTATCCCAGAAGAAGAAAGGGGAGGAGGCAATGTTAAGGAAGAAAACTGCAGCAGTATTACAGAGCAATATGTCCTGGGTTCAGCAGTAGCAGTCATGTTTTTTCCTTTGTGTTAACTGGTGCAGTGCTGTGTTTTGACTTCTAGTTTTGAGAACAGCGTTGGTGAAGCCGATGTTTTCGGTTGTTGCTAAGTGATGTTTACCCTGACCAAGGACTTTGTGAGGCTCATGCTCTGCCAGGGAGGAGGGGAAGCTGTGAGGAAGCAGAGACGGGGCGCCTGACCCGGGCTAGCCGGGGAGGTATTCCATACCACAGCACGTCATGCCCGGGGTGGGGGGTAACTGGGAGTTGCCCGGAAGGACAGGGGCTTCCGGGTGGAACTCGTTTTCTTGGCCGGTGGTATCGTATTCTCTTCCCTTGTTATTTTCCCTTATCATTGTTTTAGCTGATAGTAGCGGTGGTGATTTGTTGCTGGACTGTTCTTGTCTCAACCCGTAGGAGTTGCACTCTCTCGATCCTCCTCCCCGTTCCTCCGGGAGCGGGGAAGGGGAGAGCCCCGGTGCAGGGAGGGGGGGGAGACGAACACGGACCTTGATTGTTGTCAGCTTGGCACCACTCACTGGGAGTGAGTGAACAAGTTACCTGACTGGGTTTAAACCATGACAGTTCTTTTTGGCGCCCAACGTGGGGCTCGAGGGGTTGAGATAAGAACAGATCTGACTGGATTGATAGTCACTCGTCACAATGCTGATTTATTGGCTCTCAAGGTTTTTCCTCTTGATCTCACAGTTTCAGTATACCATATCTTACGTCCATCCGGTATTGGCTGTATTAGTGTTTTTCAAGTGTGGGGCTTGGGCTAAGGTTTTTATCCCATTGTACTTTATGGTAATGACTTGTAATACAATAGAATCATTGATCATGAAACTGATCTGGTTTATGTTCCCAGTGTGGTCACCACCTTTATACTTTGGGAGGTATATGATGGAGGTGCTTAGCAATTACACATCTTTTTTCTCCTTCTCAGGTGCTCAACCTGTGAAGGAGACATCCTTTTACCCTCCTAGTCGTCCCCCCAGACCATTTACATTTGAGAGTTTTGAATTTTTTAAATGGCCTTTTAATGCTCTTGAGACTTGTTTGCTGATGGTGATGGGAATCACCATGCTAACACGCATACAGAGTGTGTTTTGCCCACTACTGATTTCAAGAGTTAAGCAGATTCAGGTTTGGGTCTTGTCTGGGGTCAAACGACGATGTAGGAGGGCCGAGAGACTTTCCCAGAGGCTGGACAGCCATGAGTGGCAGGGTGTGTGGGATAGTATGGGCAAGTATCTAGGTCAGTGGGCCCCTCCAGTATTTTGGAATTTCACTACCGAACAACTGCAAAATCCAGAAGAATTAGTAAAACACTTAAATGAGGTGTGTGGTCATTCTGGCCATACCAGAGATGGACAAATCACGGCAACGTGCTGGGGCTTGGCCTATGCTTACAGGGCCTTGTTCAACACTATTCAGCACCTTCAAAAGGAAAAGAATGTCGGCGGATTTGAGGGCAAAGTGACAGTCGCTACTCAAACTTTGGCTGCAATGAACTGCGCAGCTACCCCAGTGGCAAGTACAGCAGCTGCTCAAACTTCAACTGCAACAGACAGCGCGGTTACCCCAGCTCCAAGCACGGTAGCTACACCACCCCCAGCAACAAGTACAGTCGCTACTCAAACCACAGTGATAATCACTGCAGCCAAACCAGAGGACCAATTCGTACCAATATCAGTTGCCCCTGTACGCAAGAGAACAAGCAAAAAGGAGGCAAAAAGGGTGAAGCGAGATGAAGAACCAATGAATTCACCACCCGGTCCAGAATCTGATCAGGAGTCATCCTCACATGACGAAGAAGAAGAAGAAGTAACTTCTCGACCTCGGACCTCAACCGAGCTGCGGAATATGCGAAAAGATTTTACCCGTCAACCAGGGGAGCACATCATCACCTGGTTACTCCGATGCTGGGACAATGGGGCCGATGGTCACGAACTAGAAGGTACAGAAGCCAAGCAGCTGGGATCACTTGCTAGAGAAGGGGGAATTGACAAAGCAATTGCAAGAGAGAAAAAGTCCCTCAGCCTTTGGAGGAGGCTCTTGGCAGCTGTGAAAGAAAGGTTTCCGTACAAGGACGATGTTACGAGTCGTTCGGCCAAGTGGACTACTATAGACAAAGGCATCCAGTCTCTGAGGGAATCGGCCATCGTAGAGATGATCTATCACATCAAGCCGAATAACGGGGATACACCTATAGATCCAGATGAAGTTGAATGTACACGACCCATGTGGCGAAAACTTACACGGAATGCACCGTCATCATATGCCCATTCATTGGCAACAGTGACCTGGAATGACATAGTACCACTAACAGTGGATGAAATGGTTCATAAACTCCGAGAGTTCGAAGACAATCTCACTCCTTCCATCATCTCAGCTGTGAAAAAACTGTCCCAGGACCTCGACAAATTGAGGGACGATGTATCTGATTTATCCAGCTCCTCACGTGTACCAACACGCGTCTCAGCTATTAACAAAAGACGTCCTATTGTTCAAGAGAGGAGATACAGAAGGTATACGCCACGGGGTACCCTATGGTTTTACCTGCTGGATCACGGAGAAGACATGACAAAGTGGGATGGAAAACCTACTTCAGCTTTGGAGGAACGGGTGAGTGAACTGAAGAGGGGAGCAAGGGCCAAGACTGATCGTCCCATGAGAGCTACGGCTTCAGTCTCTGGTGAGCAGTTTCCCAGATGGAGTGGAAGAGCTGATTTTACTCCAGCTCCTGTGATAACGAAGAATAATCCCTTTCAACACGACTTAAGTGTCCAATGCTGTGACGACCATTAGAGGGGCCCTGCCTCCAGCCAGGTGGAGGTAGGGGACAATCGGATTTACTGGACTGTGTGGATCAGATGGCCTGGCACATCAGTCCCACAGAAGTATAAGGCTCTAGTAGATACCGGTGCACAGTGTACCCTGATGCCATCAAGCTGTCAAGGGGTGGAACCCATCTATATTTCTGGAGTAACAGGAGGATCCCAAGAGTTGACTGTGCTGGAGGCTGAAATCAGCCTGACTGGGAGGGAGTGGCAAAAGCACCCTATTGTGACTGGTCCAGAGGCTCCATGCATCCTCGGCATAGACTACCTCAAGAGAGGGTACTTCAAAGACCCAAAAGGGTACCGGTGGGCTTTTGGTATTGCTGCTTTGGAGACTGAGGAAATTGAGCAGCTGTCCACCTTCCACCTTGCCTGGTCTCTCAGAAGATCCCTCTGCTGTGGGGTTGCTGAAAGTTGAAGAACAACAAGTGCCAATTGCGACCACAACAGTGCACCGGCGGCAATATCGCACCAACCGAGACTCCCTGATTCCCATCCATCAGCTGATCCGTAGACTGGAGAGTCAGGGGGTGATCAGCAGGACCCGCTCACCCTTCAATAGCCCCATATGGCCAGTGCGAAAGTCTAATGGAGAATGGAGACTAACAGTAGACTATCGTGGCCTGAATGA